AAAAAAAAAAAAAAAAAAAAAAGAAAGAAGAAAAAAAATATGTTTTCTGAAACCTACAAGTAGTAAAAAATTTGATTAATGAGAACCAATAAAGATTATTGTGTTTTATAAAACTTAGAACTTACATTTCCGCAACAAATTTCAGTACATTTATATCCGATGTCAAATGCTCAGAAAGCAACGTAATTGGAACATGAAAGTATCAACAGTTCAAGTTCTTGCAATTCAACAATCAAACACACATCTCTGCTGAGTGATGCCCATGCAGTCTGTGGGTAAGATTCAGACCCTCAATCAATTCCCCACCTACTTATACACCTCCTTAAAGCGGGAAAACAAAGACTTCAACTTTTCTTTTTTTTTTTAAGAGGCAGAGTCTCACTTTATCGCCCTCAGTAGAGTGCCGTGGTGTCACACAGCTCACAGCAACCTCCAACTTCTGGGTTTAGGCGATTCTCTTGCCTCAGCCTCACAGTAGCTGGGACTACAGGCACCCGCCACAATGCCCGGCTATTTTGTTGTTGTTGTTGTTGTTTCAATTTGGCCGGGGCCAGGTTGGAACCCGCCACACTTGGTACATGGGGCCAGCACCCTACCCACTGAGCCACAGGCACTGCCCAACTTCAACATTTTTGTCTTTAAAAATTGTTTCTATTGCAGTGACTCATGCCTGTAATCCCTGCACTCTGGAGGCCAAAGTGGGCAGATCGCTTGAGCTCATGAGTTCTAGACCAGCCTGAGCAAAAATGAGATATTGTCTCTACTAAAAATAGAAAAACCGAGACAAAAGGATCGCTTGAGTCCAAGAGTTTGAGGTTGTTGTGAGCTATGATGCCACTGCACTCCATGGAAGGCGACAGCTTGACGCTCTGTCTCAAAAAAAAAAAACAACAACTCATTTCTGTTTTATTTTTCTATTGCACAGACTGGTGTTGAGGCTGTTACATCAAGTGCTGATACATGCTGCGACCTGAATGAACTCTGAAAAATACGCTGAAGAAAACAGCCAGTCACAAAATTCCACATGAGAAACACCAAGAACAGAGAATTCTGCAGGGACAGAGAGTGTTAGTGGTGGCCAGAGGCTGCAGCTAGAGAGAAACAAGAAATAACCAGTAGACAGATGGTCTGTATTATAACAGAAAAATGAACAAGTTAATTTTAAAGTGAAAATCAAATGGGCAGGACAAACCCTCCCTCCTCCACAGAAGGTGGTTAGATTTCCAACAACATGACAATAATACACTTGAGTCCCCAACCCCGGGAAGCCCGCCCAGAAGCTGAGGTGCAGAGGCACAGCAGAGAACACTGAGGCCTCGCTGGAGGCCTGGCCCTTCTGCTGGCTGGCACTTCTGCACCCAGAGGCTGCCTGGGTGGCCTTCAGCCAATGAGGAGCTTCCAAGTCTTGGCATCTGGCCAGGTAAAGCCTACCTCACAGGGGTTAAGTGTGCGAGTCTGGGTGAAGGCACTTGGAGGACTGCAGCAGGCAAGGATTCAGCACAGGAACTTGTTATTCATGCCAGGTGCTGCGCTGGTGGCTGAGGACAAGGAAACTGCCCAGCAGCATGACAGAGGCCCTTCACTCCAGGACAGATGGCAAGGGTTCCACCAAGTGTGTGAACAACTGTGACACAAGATGCTGACCACCAGGACCCAGAGAGCAGAACGCCTCCTACTGCACCCGGCCCTGGGAGTCAGGGAGGGCGTCCCAAAAATGACACCTGAGCCAGAGTAAGAGCTGACCAGGGGACAGCTGGTTCAGACAGAACAGGCATTTGCAAATGCTTTCATAGAGGGCAGCAAACTACAGCCCCACATTCCCCTCCCCCTTTACAAAACGTAAAATTACCCATTCAAAACCGTATGATTCCACAGCACGCAGTGCATGTACACGATTTTGCACAGACAGCACCTCTACGTAGTTCCAAAACATTCACCCCCCAAAAGAAACCCCTGTGCCCATTAAACTGTCTCCAGCGCGCTCTATTCACAGCCCTCGGCAACCACCCATCTGTTTGTTGTACAGATTTGCCTATTCTAATTATTTCATGTGAGATACGTGGCCTGAGGGCCTCACTTCTTTCTTGTGGTAAGGTTTCTGAGGTTTATCTGTGTTGTAGCACGTATCACTCCTTCACTCCCTTCCAGGGCTGAACAACATTCCACTGTGCGGACAGGCTACCATGTGTTTATCCACTCATCGGCTGATGAACATTTGGGTTCTTTCTACCTTTCGGCTATCTTGGATGGTGCTAAATTATGAACATCTATGTGAAAGTTCTTGTGCGGACACATTTTTATTTCTCTTGGGTAGGTTCCAGTTCCACTGCTAGGTAAAATGGTAATACTATGTTTAACTTTGTTTTATTTTAAGAGAGAGGGTCTCAGCTCTGCCCTCCCCCCCCCCGACTGGAGCACAATGGTGCAATCCTGGCTCACGACAGCCTCCAAGTCCTGGGCTCACGCAATCCTCCTGCCTTTGCCTCCTGAGTAGCTGGGACTAAAGGTGCCCACCATTACTCCTGGCTCATTTTTAAATTTCTTCTACAGATGGGGCCTCACTATGCTGTCCAGGTTGGTCTTGAATCCTGAGACTCAAGCAATCCTCCCATCTTGGCCTTCCAAATGGGTTTTTTTTTCTGGTTCCATAAGTAAAGAATTATTTTTTCCAAATCTGGAAAGTATTTATTGGTATTTTAATGGGGATTGCACTGAATCTGTAGATTGTTTTGGGTAAGATAGACGTTTTCACAATGTTGGCTCTTCCCAGCCTCGAGTATGGTATGTTCTCCCATTTGTTAACATCTTCTGCTATTTCTTTTCTTAGGGGTTATAGAGGTCTTTCACCTCTTTTGTCAGGTATATTCCTAGGTATTTCATTTTCTTTGAAACTACTGTGAAGGGAATTGTGTCCTTGATTAGCTTCTCATCTTGGTGGTTATTGGCATATACAAAGCCTTCTGATTTCTGGACATTGATTTTATATCCTGACACATTACTGTATTTTTTGATAACTTCCAGGAGTCTTGTGGTTGAGACTTTGGGGTTCTATAAGTACAAATTATATCATCAACAAAGAAGGAGGGTTTGAACTTCTCTGCCCCCATTTGGACACCCTTTATTTCCTTCTCTTGCCTGATTGTATTAGCTAGAACTTTCAGGACTATGTTGAATAATAGTGGTGACAGAGAACAGCCTTGACTGGTTCCAGTTCTAAGTGGAAAAGCTTTTGGTTTTACTCCATTCAATATAATATTAGCTGTGGGTTTGTTGTAGATGGCTTCAATCAGTTTAAGAAATGTGCAACCTATGCCTATTTTCTTCAGAGTTCTAGCTAGAAAAGGATGCTAGATTTTATTGAATGCTTTTTCTGAATCTATTGAGAGGATTGTATGGTCTTTGTTTTTGCTTCTGCTGATATGGTTAATTACGTTTATGGATTTGCATTCCTGGTATGAAACCTACTTGATCATGATGAGTGATTTTTTAAATGTGTAGCTATAATCTATTGGCTAGGATTTTTTTTTTTTTTTGCTTGTATGAAAGGTTTTTATTGGGTGGGGTGGGGGTGGTGGTGGTGGGGATGCTGCAAAGCAGCACCAAGGAGGAGAGAAAAGAGAAGAGAAAAGAGGAGAGGAAAGAGAGGAGAGGGAAGAGAGAGCTTGGCTAGGATTTTATTGAGAATTTTTCTATCTATATTCATTAGTGAAACTGGTCTGAAATTCTTCTTTTTAGTTGGGTCTTTTTCTGGTTTTGGTATCAAGATGATGTTTGCTTGATAGAACAAACATCATCTTGTTGGGGAAGATTCTTTCCTTCTCAATTTTTTG